CAGACCTCAAAGTGTTTTTCAAATGAACTAAAGGCAAGCAAAGTACCTAATATTTCTGTCTTGCCCAACATCATAGAGCAAAACAACTACACAGAAATTAAAGGCACAACATTTCCCAAATTTTTAGCCTTATCAAACTGTCATGATCCAAGTAGGTATATAAAAATAATTCTAAATTATATCCACTTATTATTTCACTGCATAAAAGAAAATCTAAATGTGCTGCTGATAATTAATATGCCACAGACAGAGAACAGTTGTGGTTTAAATAACCTGAATGTTACACACCCCTAATGTGATGTATTTGCCTATTTACTCAATGCAATCATCTGATTACCTGATTAAAACTACACCAAGACATCTTATGACGTAGACTGACTAAAACCTGCTGGTTTTAATTAATGTTATATTTAGAATAAAATAATTAATTAAAAAGAAATAAAAGGTTGGATCCTTAGTTTCCCAGAAATTATGTCCTTCCAGTTTATGCATACTTTCATTTAAACATGTATGAAGCTTTATTGAGACCATCTAAAATCTGAACACTATTGATTGATCTTTACATGAGGAATCATAGTGAAGTTGTTCTGTAGCACTTCAAAATCAGTCGCAGAAAAGATGCATTTAACTCAGGAATTTTCCCTAGTTTGAATTCTTCAGCACCATCACAGTAAAACAAGAGATGTTCCTTGCACACACACACACACATTCCATTGACTGGACTGTCTTGTCACTAGGGAAAAACAATTCCCACAAGATTTAGTGTTTATTTAAAGTCATCAGGCACAAAGAATTCAGCATCGTCTTAAATCCTTCTGATATTCATGACATTGCTGGTGATTCTCAAACAGATCACTACAGCTGGCAGGGATCACCGCTAGCCACTTAGAATTCCCACACCCCCAAACTACTCTGTGTTTCCTTACAGAAAAGCACTGCACCTGGAAATTCCAACAGTAAACTGGTTATTAGACTGGGCAAGAAGATAACGTTGCATTTTCACAAGCAAAACCTGCTCTTAGATATACCACATGGCTTCAAAATAATTGTTGTTGGAATAAGCCTACAGGTAACCTGCATGACAAAGACCTTTTTCACCCAGGGGGGAAAAGGAAGATGATAATGGTGACAGATACAATGTTTATAAAAGGTCAGGTCAAACTGAGATTAGCCAAGACCCAGTTTTCATACTGTATTCAGATTTCTTCTGAACCAAGGAAAAATCAGTTTAGCTACACAACACATGCTGCCATACATAAAACTCCAGTTTTACCTTTCAAAAAAGTGTGAAGCAATTTTTGGCTTTTAATGGTGACTTCCTAACAGAACTGGGAAACTAAAATACTAGCAGTTATAAAACAAAGCATGGAGAAATATCTATGCTTGGTGTGAAAAATTTA